TAATTTTTAAGGGGAAACTCAGGTGTATTTAATAAGGTGTAAGTGACAGTCATATGGTTTAAAACATTTTTCTTTATTGTTTGTAAAGTAAATTGTCAAAAATATTTGTCAACGTTTCATTTCGATTTAAAATGTTGTCTGTTGTTTTCGATTATTATTTTTTATTAATAAAAGTACAATAATAATGAATTTATAGGGACGGAATATTTGTTAATGCCCCAAGTGACAAGGAAGCGTGAGCTTAAATCAGTTCTAAATCCGGCCGCAAGTACAACATGGGTTCCAGATTGCAAATATACATATGTATATGTGTGTTCTTATGATCGATTTAATACCAAAAGGAAAAAGAAATCTGCCGCTAAATCCCCTGTTTCCCTCAAAATCAAGGAAATGGTGTTATATAGCTTGTATTAGAATTTGTCCATTAGTTTTCTACAATCGCCCGGCTAAATACAATTTTTTTTACAATTTAAAATGAGATTCTGTTGCGTAGTCTATTGACCGATTGCATACGGGTTTGTGGTGTTTGACCGGGGATTTATGTCCTACAATTTTTCTACCAAGAAGCCACTTCTTCGAAAATTATATTGTAATTTAAAATATAAGAAAAATCCCCAAGGAACCAAGGCTTACATGTGGGACACTTTTCAAAATTATTCGACCTGAAGAAATGTATAATTGTTTTTATTTATTTTTGTCAAAACCTATTTGTCAGCATGACAATTTAACCCTTTCAGTATTTTTGTCGAATATATTCGACATTTAAAATTACTCTCTTTCTTTGCGATTTTTCGGTTATCCTATGTACCGTTACAATTAATGTTTTTGTTGACACTGAAAGAGTTAATTTCTATAACAACAATGTTGTTTTTGTAAAATGTTTGTTGTTGTATCTGATGCATACACCTTATTAAATACACCTTGGGGGAAACCAAGGCGTATTTAATAAGGTGTAAGTGACAATCATATGGTTTCAAACTTTTTTCTTTATTGTTTGTAAAGTAAATTGTCAAAAACATTTTCAATATTCCATTTCGATTTCAAAAATGGTATTTTTTAATAATAAAAATTAAAGAAAACTGCATTCATAGAGACGGACGGAAAGGAAACCTATGCTTAAATCAGTTATAACCACGTTCGCCGATTGGTCCACATATTTTATGTTATGCGTGGAAATCTGTCCATGAAATCGAGGAGATTATGTTAGCCTATATTGGAATCGGCCCTTTGGTGCTTGTCACAATCCTCGGCGGAGGTTAAATACGCCTATGGAACGATTTTATACGGCCAACACAATTTCCATGATTTAGTCTTTGGCTGGGGATTTATGTCCTTCAATTTTCTTTAAGAAGCAAGATTAGAAGCCACTACATAGAAAAAATAGATTGTAATCCACAAGATAAACAATATTACAAGGAGCCATGGGCTAATTGTGAGAAACTTAAAATTAATCGCGACCAGGTCTTAAACTTTATTTTTCACCGACCTAAAATCGCCAATAACCCAAGAATACACAAATTCATTAATTATTCCTCAAAGAATAGTTCTTGACAAAAATGAATTAATAATTGTTTTTGTTTATTTTTGTCAAAAACTTATTGTCAGCATGACAATTTAATTTCTATAACAACAATAGGTGTGTCTGGTTACCCTAAAGTTTGTAACAATTGTTACAAATTGTTACTGGAAGTCGTCTGTTAACCCAAAAGTTCTGCAAAAGAGAGCGGTTGGAGAGAGAAATTTTGACAGTTCTTTCAGTGAGAGTTTGCAAATTCTTGCTGGAAAAATTTCTTCTTGCAATCTCTTGCAACTCTTCTTCTTCTCATACATCGACATTCAATCAGATGTTTTCTATTGTTTGTTTATTTATTTTTGTGCTTTCAATTTGAAAATAATTTTTTTTGGAATTAGCAAGACTAATTGTTTTTGGAGAAAAACTTTACAAAACGAGAAAAACGTAAGTATTAATATGTAATAGGAAAATAAAAGACTATTTCCAGCATTTTTAGAAAAATGACGGAAGAAGATCAGTGTGTCTCTGTAGCCAGTGGCAGTAAATTATTAAGCCCAAATATGGATTTATTGCTCATTTTTTTATTTTATTTCCTTTTTATTTCAAAAACTTGTTAAACTGGTTGTGTTTTCTTTCTTTTAATTCTTTATAATGGCGGACAAATTGGTTTGTTTTGACAAATCAGCTGATTAGTTGCAAGCTTCTGCAGGGATGCCGTCTGTTTACTTTTCGCATTTTTCTTGCAAAAGAGAATAAAACTACCTTACTCTCTCAGAAAGAAGTTACTGGACAATTCCTGCAGGGAAAGTAACCAGACACACCTAATGTTGTTTTTGTAAAATATTTGTTGTTGTATCTGATGCATACACCCGTCTGTCTGTTCCCGTACAGCAAGAATCTGCTACTTTTTACTACGATAACGAATTTCCCTTTATGATATCGAAGAAAATAGTAAAATCGAATAGATTCTTGCAATACGGGAACAGACCACTTATTAAAAACACCTTGGGGGAAACCCATGGTATAATAATAGAAGGTAACAGCAAGTGTTGTTGTACAAAAAACGATACAACAACCACATGGAAATTTGTTGTTGTAAGTTCTACTAGTGTCAACTAATTTGACAGAAAAATGTAAATAAACAAACAAATTATCATCAAATTATTATTTTTTTGAAAATGAAATATTTTCGAATCCTCAAAATAAAAATTGAAAAACATGAATGAAAATCTATCAAATTTATATTTCTATCTATTCCACATCTTTCCTATAATTGAGCCATTGCCATATATATGTGTAACACATATGAAAATGCTGGGAATAGCGAGTTATTCCTTGAAGAAAGATTTGCTTCCTCTAACTTTCCCAGCAGGCAGATTGAGTAAATTGAATACAGGAGCACATTTAATAAAGAACAATTTTAAATTGTATGCGTTCCCAATTTTCCTGTTGGGTGATTTTTAAAAACATAATTTGTCAAATTCATATTGACACTAGTATAACGTTGGAATCAAATCAGCTGGGATTTGCTGTTACCTTTTATAATTGTACCATGGGGGAAACCAAAAACAATTTTGATTGATAAAAGAATATTGGTCTGTTCCCGTACAACCCCTATCGTAGTAAAAAGTTGTAAATTCTTGCTAGTTCTGGAACAGACTTATAATGTCGAAATAAAAATAATAAATAAACAGATCAATATTCTCCTGCTAATCGAAATTGTTTTCGATTTCCCTTTAAAAATTAAAAAAAAAAAAAAATACCATATTTTAAGTACGGGAACAGACAATTTGGAACGTCTTCAAAAAAGTTTGCCGACATCGTCGGTAAGAATTTCAAATTAGTGCCGGCTTGGTTGTTTATTTAAACTTCAAACATTTTTCAATTTCTTTCGATATGAAATAGACCTATAACTTTTAGTTCAATAATATCCTTTAAAGAAAAAGACATTGGAGCATAATAACACGATCATCCGAAAGGGGGTCGTTAGTGGACATCGTAAATTATGGAATTATCTGGAGTTCTATGTTATATTACGCTGCTGGCAAATATACGTACGAATGTCATTATTATAAAAATAAAAAACAAATTGAAAAAAATGACAAATTTAAATTGAATTATTGATTGACGATGGCATTCAATCAAATTTGAATAGCCAACAAATACAAATTTATTTAAAAATATCGTTAATATTTCGGGTAATTGCGCTGGGAAGTCATGGTTCAAATCTATGGGAATGCTGCAAAAATCAATGGATATCTGCCATTACAAAAATGGGAAATAATTCAAATATTTGTGTATGCGATTGATGACCGCATTCAAAATGACTTGAAATCGAGAACATTTGGATCTGAGAAAATCAGCAATCGTTTTGATCTGTCAACACAAATTTTCCCCCATTTTTTATCATAGACAAGGATAATATCATCATATAGTCCGTGTAAAACAATGTAATGCAGTCCCCTGACGATGGCCTTTTTAATTTTCTTCATCTTTTCAGATACCTTTACGTAATGATCCACCAGAATTTCAACGAAATGTGTGGACTAATGGTTATATTTGAGGCATCAACAAACAGCCAATATGTTTGTTTAAGACCCTATGGTATAAACAATTCATATATTTGTCAGTGGACAAATTCAAGCTCATTGGCCCGAGATAAAATGGAACCTCTTAAATTTATTTCACATTACGATATCCTTAAACTTGTTTAAATAAAGTTCTCAAATAGCAGTTGAACCTCATGGACGAACAATGTGACTCTTAGTATTCTGGAATTCCGGGTGCTAAAATTACAAATAATCGGAAACAAAATTAATAGATTAATAATCATGCCGCCAAAGATAAACGTATCATCTTATGGTTCTTGTAGGAGCAGCCACAGGCATGGATTTTTCGTCGGCATAACAATCTTTCGGGATCATATAAATTTGAATCAATATCCTAAAAATCAGTAGGTCATTCGCAGCACAATTTGCACAAATGTAACATTTATATAGGTACTTACAAATAATTTGCAGCATAAATACTTCCCTTGGTCTCTCCTTAATTTGCTGTATTTGAGTTAATATTTTTAAATTTTGTCAAACAAAAAAAATGTTTTATGTCTTCATTCTAGGAACAGTCATTTTCAAAGCAGTTTTTGAAGAATATGAAAAAGAAAGATTAAATACAAAAAAAAAAAAAAAAAAAACATCGAAAGAACTAAAAAACCCCCATGAGGCAAAAAATGAGAAATCCGAATAATAAAAGGGGATTTTATGTGGTAAAAAACTTCGACACAGCCATACACACATACTTTTTAGCTACTACGTCGTACGAGCTACATTCACGTTTGCTATGATAAGAGCTATCACCACAATCACCTCTTTTTATTCAATTTGTTTGTAAATACAACAAAATAATGCATCATAAATAAAATCGATAAACAAATGGAGTTTGTAATAAATAAATGAAAGACGTACATACACACATCTTTGTATATGGCTTAACCGAACTGCATCTGCATGACCTTTTCCAAGATGTCCAAACATACATCACGATCATTCGCACGTAATCTATGCCATCCTTCAGTTGCCATCACATTTTTAATGTTTTCGATTACAAATTGAACAGCCTTTGATTTAAGGCGTTCACTGGAATGACGATCGCCCAGAAGAAGAATATCAGCCACTGTGTCGTCACTCATTACTTCGATTAATATATCTTCACAGATTTTTTGCAAATCTACTAGGGCATATTTATTGGCAGCCACAAATAGATCTGCTGCCATTTCTTTGGGCATTTCCTCGTCCGTGTAGATGTAATTTAGTAATTTCTTGAGCACGTCCGAATCCATATCGTCGATGGTAATACTACCGGTTTTCTTCTCCTGCAGGTCATTGCGGAACATGGCCCGAAACACATCACTGCGAGCACATAACACAACCTTGTGTGCCTTGAATTCAATTCGATCTTGGGCGACCAGAGCTACATCGCTGAATTATTCGATAGCCAAGATATTGGCGAAATCCTTCGAGATGCCTGTTAGGGTTTCATATTGTATTTGAAGAAATATCACGAACATATTATGTTCAAATCCGGAATATTTACGTTTCGTCGTATTAAAATCGATATATTTATTTATTTGTTTCGTTGATATCTTCTTCGAGCATTGCTTTGATCCTTCAGTTACTGTAACTTGAAATATCATGTTTTCAATATTGCATGAAATCAACTTTACATATGTATTTGCAGTTGTATGTAGTATCCATACGGCTTTGACTTCCCCATTATTTACCACAATTTCCGGAGATTTATAATCACAACGACCAAACGCAAGGAACTGCCAACAACATTTATTATTTCCGATGTTACTGATATTTCCAACAGTATTGATCATTTCGAAGACCCTGACACACTGGACGGCAGGGCTATCTCAACAAAATGTAACGACAAAAAAAGACGGTTATTTGTTTGTCGAACTGTTCACAGAGTCCATTGCCGTTTGATTTTTTCTTATGACGGCAACAGCTGATCTTATTTCCACGCACACCTACAGTCGGCGCCAAAGTAGAAAATACATTTTTTTAACGGTTGTAGTTAAAGAAGAAAATCTATAGAATTTTTAAATAATTAAAAGAAAATTAGTTTAAAAAATGTTTATAAAAAATATTATTAAATAAAAAAACAGAAAATTTTCTATATAAAAATATTTAAAAAAATCCTAAAGATTTTTGCACTGAAAAACAAAATGCATATAAAAAATTAAAAACATTAAAAAAAATTATAAAGTCATTTTTATAGGAATTATTTTAAGAAAATTTTATAGAAATTTTTATAAAAAAAATTTATAGAAAAATTTTAAAGAATTTTTTATAATAAACAAGTTTATAGAAACTTTTATAAAAAAGAAGATTATTAAATAAAAATATAGAAAAGTTTCTATATAAAAAGATTTAAAAATATCCCAAAGATTTTTGTATCTTGTATTTTATAAAAAAAAGTATAGAAATTTGTATTAAAAATTTTTATAGAAATTTTTATAAAAAAATTAAAACTATTCTAAAGAAAAATATTTTTAACGGTTGTAGTTAAAAAAATCCTATAGTATATTAAATAATTAAAACAAAAATGTTTAAAAGAATGTTATAAGACAGATGTGTTATATAGAAACATTTCTAAAAAATCTTAAAGAATTTTGTATTAAAAAACTAAATTCGTATAAAAAAAATATAAACATTTTTACAAAAAAAAAAAAAATATATATATATATATATAAAGAATTTTTTATTATTAAAATTTGTGTAGGAAAATTTTATAGACATTTTTATAAGAACATATTATAGACATTTTATAAACAATTTTATAGAAATTTTTATAAAAAATTTTATAGAAATTGTTATAAAAAAATTATATGAATTTTTATAAAAAAATGTATCAAAAAAAATTTATATGAATTTTTATAAAAAAAATATATATAAAAAAGATTATGTTTATTAAAATTTGTATTAAAAAAATTTCATATGAATTTTTTTGCTTTTAAAATATTCTGCAGGAATTTTTATTCATTTTTTTTATTTTTACGGTTTCAAATACAAATTTTATTTGAAAATGACAAAATCAAGTACAGAGTTCCTTGGGCTGCCATCATCGATATAGCAAATGAGACTACCTTTAATAATAATGCCATGATGTGAAATTTGAATTGTGAAAATGTATGGAAATGTATTTGAAACAACAATATTTTCCGAAAAAATTAATGTTTTTAATTAAAAGTAAATAAATATTGAATCATACTATAGTCAGGAGAACGAAAATTATTTTTTCTATTTAGATTCATATGTGATTCACGCAAATATGTCACAAAACAAGAAACAAAAAGTTTGAAATAAAAAAACTCTGATGACATGAATTAAGAATAGTGTTGTATGAACGGGTTAATTCATGTACGTAATTCTGAGAGCGAACTGCGTTGTTCGAATGCCCGTCAGAACATGGCATAATATTAAAAAATTAATTTTCACTAAAATTTTGAATTTTTTATGTCGCCTTCAATAAAAATCATTAACTGATAATGAGGTACGAATTTAATAGAATAGTGCTGGCTTCGTTGTTTTTTGAAACCTCAAACATTTTTAAATTTCTTTCGATATGAAATAGACCTATAAACTTTGGATCAATTATTTCCTTAAAAGAAAAATACATACGAGACCATAGTATAATAATAGAAGGTCAAATGAAGTTGACACTAGTAAAACTTACAACAACAAATTTCCATGTGGTTGTTGTATCGTTTGTTGTACAACAACACTTGCTGTTACCTTCTATTATTATACCATGGTGTGTCATTTTGAGAACTATCGGATGGCGATGGCATTCAAACAAATTTGAAAGTAGGAACAAATATACATAAATGCAATTTTAAATTAACCATATCAATGTCGTTATAATTCCCGATAATTGTAACGGGAAGATAACTGCCGCTCCAAAAATGTAAAAATTTACGAATATTTGTGATGATGATGGTCAACTGCGTTGTAAATGGCTAGAAAACGTGGAAATGTCGATCTGAATCTAAAAGGTTAGTCAACGTCCAAATTCATAAGAAAATCAGCAAACGTTTTGATTTGACAACACAAATTTTTCGCCCGATTAGTTTTTTTCTCCATTTTAAAATCAATTCCCTTAAATGACCGAACATATTTTCAGTTTTATTTGCTTGTTTCCTTTGGTTGATCTACACTTGGACTTGAAGCGGCAGTTATCCATTGATTCCTATAGATTTGTCCCATGGCTTCAAAAATTTAATTAAAATTTGACATATTTTCAGATTGCTTTAAATTTTTATAATAATGACATACATACGCAAATTTGTCATCGGCGTATTAAACATCGAAATCCAGGAAATTTTATAATTTTCGATGTTCACTAGCAACGTTTTTTAGAATTCTCGCAATATTATGCTCCAACGTCTTTTTCTTTTAACGATATAATTGAACCAAAATTTATAGGTCTATTTCATATCGAAAGAAATTGAAAAATGTTTGAGCTTTCAATAAACAACCAAGCCGGCACTATTTTGAAATTCGCACCTCATTGTCAGTTAACGTTTTTATTTGAAGGCGATAAATTTTGTAATTTTTTTTTTTAATTTGACAAAATTAAAAAATATTAGAGTAACTTCGGGTAATGTGGACCAGGCGTCTAATGTGGACCACCCCCCATATCTAAGAAAATGCTTGAAATATGTCAATGCCGCCTTGATAGTGAAAACAAACATCAAACTTGGTTTTTAATAAATAATTGCAATGTTGAAAATGTAGTAGTAGAAAATGTAGCTCTGATTGTAAAAAAATTTTTTTTACCACAATAGTCGGACGTTTTTGCACAATAGTCGAACACTTTTTTTTCTCGAATATAAAGAAGTTATGTGGTTTTCTTGTTTTCTTTAACAAAAATATACGTTTAGCTGCAATTACGATCGGTGATTTTTAATTTTTATTCATTTTTGAAGCAGATAATTATTTTTTAAATAAAAATATTCAATGTCGGGTAATGTGGACCACTATGAAAAAGTGGGAGAGTTTCACGAGGACGAGTTCGAAACATGGGCGCATTGAATATGCAAGGAGGTATTCTACCCTCTGAAAACTCGATATGCGAAATTACAGGTGCCTCGATTGGATAATGAAGCAAGGATCTGCAAAATACAGCAAATAGGGCGGTACCCTTAAGTGGGGGCTAGTCCAAAACATTAACCCATATATTTTTGCATTCATTGTTACCCAAGAGTGCAATAAATGGAAACTTATCACAACCAATGCACCACCTACCTTTAACTTACTGATCCTCATGATACACACATACAGGTCCACATTACCCGCCAAGTTATTTTTATTCGTAGGTTTGGTTTTTTGAAATATAATGCAATAACATTTTTATAGAAAATTATAAATAATATTTGACCTGGAATATATTTACCCAACAAATCTACTATGTTGTGAAAACAATTTCGTTTTTATTTTTTACCGTTGTTACGCCCACAATATCAAAAAAAGAAAATGGTGGTCCACATTACCCGAAGTTACTCTAACTCAAATACAGCAAATTAAGGAGGGTCCAAGGAAAGTATTTATGGCGCAAATTATTTGTAAGTGTATAAATGTTAAATTTACGCAATTTGTGCTTCAAATGATCTACTGATTTTAAGGATATTGATTCAAGTCTATATGATCCCTAACGATTGTTATGGTGACAAAAAATCCATGCCTGTGGCAGCCCCTACAAGAACCGTAAGATGGTACGTTTGTCTTTGGCGCTGTGACTATTAATTTTGTTTCCGATTATTTGTGATTTTACCACCCGCAATTCCAGAATATTTTAAGTCCCATTGTTCGCCCATAAGGCTTCAACTGCTTTTGACGAACTTTATTTAAACACATTTAAGGTTTTCGTTATGTGAAATAAATTGAAGAGGTTCCATTTTATCTCGAGAGAGTGAGCTTGAATCCACTGACAAATATATGAAAAACCTCGATGTGGTGTTTATGACATGTTTATACCATGGGGTCTTAAACAAACATATTGGCTGTTTGTTGATGCCTCAAATATAACTTTTATTCCACTCATTTCGTTGAAATTCTGGTGGATCATTATCTAAAGGTATCTGAAATGATGAAGAAAATTAAAAAGGTCATCGTTAGGAATATCGAGAGACTGTCGTACATTTTTTTACACGAATAATTAGTGTTGACTGAATCAAAACGTTTGCTGATTTTCTCAGATCCAATGTTCTCGTTTTCAAGTTATTTTCCATGCAGTTGAATGCCGTCACCAATCGCCCCCACAAATATTTAAATTATTTCCCATTTTTGGAGTGGCAGATATCCATTGATTTTCGCAGCATTCCCATAGATTTGATCTATGACTTCCCAGGACAATTACCCGAAATTTTAATGAATTTTGTAAATAAATTTGTATTTGTTGGCGATTCAAA